GGTGGTGACTTCATCGTTTTTGGTGGTTGTGAAGTTGTAGAGTCGCAGTGTAATTACAGTGGGGGATTTGAAGCTCCATTTTTCTGGATGGGAATTTGGGGAAAAATGGGATGAACCGTGTTTCCGACGAATGAGAAGGATGCAAAATGCGACGTGACCGGGGTTTGGGGAAATGGATTCAAAATTGAAAGTGGAGCCTCCCCCAATTAGTCCCAATTCCATCCACCAGTCTCGAGTCCCTCTCAAGCCTCACGCCCATCAAAAAGCCACTGCATCACGCCACATCCAGAATCTCCCCTTTGAACCCCTTTGAATTGCAGTGAGATGATGTGAAACATTCGTGATGGACGATGCAGTGGTGTGCCTCCCGGGGAAATCATCTCTCAGCTCCCCGTCAGCCCCGTCAGGCCCGTCAGGCGTCAGAAGTATGGAAGTGACCCAAAGATATGGTTCAGCGAGGATTACATTACACAACGTCGGCGACGTCGGGTGCAATCACTACCAATGAACCCTTCCTTTCGAGATTTTCTAGATCCCCTTTTGTCGTTTTATTCCCCGTACGTACGATATGAGGCTTAGGTTGTACATCGCTTGGTGACCATGCTGAGTGACCGCCGAAGCGGCTTCGTTCCTGTCACAGAAGTGAATCTCTCCGTCACTAGTCAGGGGATGTCACCCTCTTTGGGAACCCTTTTTGGTGATGGTGGTGTCCACCACAACTCCTCCTGCACCGCGGCCATTCCCGGTTCACCCGTTGCATCAATCACAGCGCGTCAGCTCGCCTTGCTCCCAAATTGAGGAGGCCCTTTTGAGATTTGACAGGGCCAGTCCGCCCGGCCGCCGCGCCCGACCTCTGACCCAGGACTGCGGACCTGGGCCTGGGAAGGTGTACCCGGGATTCTCTCGGGTACCTTACGTATGTATGTACATACAGGCATCACTCTCGGACATCTCCTTCTCCAGCTTCAAATCGTTCCGGTGCTCCCATCTCCATTGGATACATACTAACCAAGCATTGAAAGTTCGGGTTTGAGAATCATGAGGCTTTAAGGCTTGAAACCCCTTGCCGATCCTGAATCTGGCATATTCGTAACGGAACGTAGTAGCAGCGCCTTCGGACTTACTTGAGCCTTTGATACAACGACGGCAATGCCCGAACATTTTCCCTTTGGCATTGATTGACTTTGACACTGTTCAATGGCACCTCAACGATTGTTCTTCTCCCTACTCCCTGCCCTGGCATCGATTAGTACCACACTCACGGGACGAGCTACAGTTACATGTTAAAGTCTTGGTATTGCCCGGGGAATGGACGGAATGGACGGAATTGACGGAATGAATGGCATGGCTTGGCTTGGTGGTGGTTTCGAATCACGAGGACATTTGTCGAATATGCAACATCTGAGACCAGCAGCAGCCAGCAAGGGCCTGAGACGGCGAAAGGACTTTGCACCTTGCTACACTTTGCTTACTAGGACAAATCGAAAGAAGTCTAGCCTGGCTTTTAGAGCTTGCATTAGCGGCTCCATAATCCTTTGGAGGTTTGGTCTCATCGTCCCGTTGTCCGTTGATTGTTGTTGACTGGTGTTGACTGTTGTTTGTCGACCGTCGGTTATGGGTTTACTGATGCCATGATATGATGGCATGGCATGTTGTTCATTTCGGGCTGCTCGTGTTACTAATTCATCAATGTCGTCGTAGTTGACAACCCTGTCGGCCCGGGCAGGTTGGTGACGACGATTGACGCCCGGGTGTTATCCGATGTCTCGCGAGTTACGACTTGTGAGGCTTTTCATGGTCGCCGAATGACGATATCGTGCCCGGACTCCAGCTCCGGTCGCCGGTTCCGAGCCGGGGAATGGATGATGGCTTTCTTGTCATGATGCTCGATTAGGAATATGATCTGCGCCTCTTTCAGTTGTCACTGCTGGAGTGCTGTTACGTATCCCCAGTCCCCAGTGGTAACCGTAGAGGTTCTCTTGCGAGCTGGAGTTTGAGTGGTGGGCTGGTGGGGTCCACATAGTGTCGTTTCGTTTCGTTCAAATTCGGGGTTCGGAAATGCCTGGCTGCACTGCACTGATCGATGCAGGCACGAATGGAGCACGGAGCACTCGGTGGTGTGTCCACCAGGTACACGTATCTACGGTACAGCACTGGGCAACGGTTCAAGCTCAACTCCAAGCACAGATCTTTTGTTCGAACATCCCATCCTCTGATCGCTGCTGTTGACGTCCCCCTCGTCGTTCGTCGTGGATTTTAACATTGCAGGAGTAGGAGTCAAACTAAGCAAGCAAACAAACGGAAAAAGTCTAAATCACCAACGCAGCCAACCACCCGTCCATCCGTTCCGGGCCGCAGCGAAAAGGTTGAACGGGCCTTACCTTATCTTACAAAGAGAGGTGACCTAACAAAGGTTGTAAGGTAACGAAGGTACCTGCCGCAGTACCGTACCGCACCGCACCGTACCTTAGGTTGTTGGTTGTTGCGACTGAGGTGACCGGCCCGGCTATCGGCCCGCCAAGCGCACCTGGCACCTGCCGCACCTAGGTACCCCGGAATTAGCTCCGCTGTTGGGTGGGTGTCGCTGTAATCTCTTTGTTCGCCTTCGCGGGTCGGGCGCAATGTTCAATTTGAACGAACGTTCAATTTCATAAAACTGAACGGGTCCGGGCAGTCCGCTCACTCGGTTCGGTTCAGTTCAGTGTGTGCATTTTTAGAGAAGCGAGAAATCACAATTGGATTGGGATGTTTCGTTTGGGAATTGGAGAGCTTGACATGCCATGCAGGCCACACGCACGTCAACAAAGAGGGGGGAATAAAATGAAGAAATAGTGACAGATGCAAGTGTCAAATACTGCGTGCGGTAAGCAATCGTGAGATCCAGCACAACGTAATGCAATGATAGGTTTCCTGTAGCTAGGTGGTTTCGCGTGTGCGTTATCTTTGTACGAGACAAACAGATCGGGAACGTGCATTCTCGAGGTCGCCCTTCACCCTTCTCCTTCTCCTTCTCCGACCCCGCGCCGCGCAAGCCTCCGCCACAATTAACAATGCGAACTTTCTTTTCTTTTTTTTTCTTTTTTTTTCTTGCGTTCGTATATCGGACGCAGGAGAAGAAGCTTATCCGAATGTGTTCAAGTGCGGCTGAAAACATTCAAAAAGAGCAAGTTGATGTTGAAAAAAAGTGATTGTTGAGATGTGAATCTCAATGTTCCATTTGCTGGCTGTGGTATGTATAGACCAAGCTTTCTGTCGCTAAACTATATAGCTACTTCTTATTTTATCCATCCTCAGACTGTATCTTTATACATGAGTTCTGATATAAGAGGTGCAGGGAGGGGATTAACTAAACAAAGACGAGAGGGGGTATCTTCTATAACCTGGATCCAGCCAAGCGAACACTGACTGCCCCTTTCATGGCTGGAGATACCAAGGGAAACCGAAGCCCCAGAATGTGTATCCTCCAAGATAATGCCAGATGGTGTACAGTGGTGATGTGATGATGATGATGTGATGTGACATGAAAAGGAAATAGGGGCCATGATGCGCTTTGCGGGTGATGATGGCGATCTCCGCGAGGAGAACCATCCCGATGTGGTGGTACATCCCATAACAATGTGGGAAAATACAAAAAGTCTAGATGCAATAAAAAAGCAGTTTTCCCAACCACCCAAGTCTTTTTCCCAATCCAACCCAAGACAAACGAGAAAAGAAAAACCGAAACGCTGTGATGTCGGTCGCGCATCATTCTTGGCTGGCATGCCCGTCCCTGAGCCCATGATCAAGTGCCGTCGTGATTCGGCGAATTATGAGACCGGATCGTGTTCCGGCTGGGTTTGGGAGGGCGTGATTAAGTTGGTGGTCGAATGTGTCGGGAGAGAAGCTGGTTGCTTCTTTTCCGTTGTGATCCGCGCAAAACAGGTTTGGTGTAAAAATGACAAGTGACCACCCCAAGAGCGACTGAGTATTGCTCCATTAAATCCCAAGAAAAAGGAAAATGCAACCAAGCCCATCTCTAGTGTAAACGCCGTGCACCAGGTGTAAAAAGCAAAACTCAGGCCAGAGTCAGCCGCCCGGAATGAACCACTCGCTTGTTGTTGTAGTGTTGTCCTCCATGTTGGAGGAATGATGATTAAAAGGCGTACTCCGAATTGAAATTAATCGCCCGAGAATGAGATCGCAGAGGTTGTTGACTAAAGTGTAGTAGTAAAAGATGGTGAGGGCGAGATTAAAACCGATTATAGTATAGTAGTCGAAGAGAGAAGTCGCAAAAAGAAGAGGTGGTGCTGCTTGTTCGAGATCGCCGTCATGTTTGGTTGTTGTTTGTCGTGCCAATGTCGATTAAGGAATGTGACAATGATCCGCGCTGCAGTGAATCAAGGGATGAACAGGCACGCATCAGGTCCCGATAAGATCGAGGGCCCTTTACCTCCGGCTGGGCTTGGGCGGCTGTGGGGGCTTGGGGACACCGGTGGTATCGTAGGCGCCACGGCCGAAGTTGACACACTGAGACGTCCTGGTGATCATTTTGGCGGTTGTGAAGGTTGTATTAAAAACGTCGCAAGAGCTGTACCACCGAGAAGACACCTTGGTTAGTTATCTGTCCGACCCGGCATCTGATATGTTGTTGCGCGTCATGACTCACGATTGAGACGCCAAAGTGTAATCGGCGAGAATTAGGATTCGAAAAAGTGTCGTCGACAAGTGCGTAAGTTTGTTGTGGTTGTTCGGTGTGCTTCCCGTTTCGGAAGTCTTTCGTGATGTTCGAAATAGGAAAGGAACTCTGGAGAGCTGGCAGTCGTGCAGTAGTGTGGATCGGAAGTAGACAAGTAAGGTAGTATTAAACCTGGTGTTTATTCACAACACAGGAGAAGAATTAGGATCCGAAGATGGTTGAGAAGCTGTGATGGGGATTCCAAGAAAAGAGGTCTGGACGGAGAAGGGGATCCGTCGGTCTTATAACATGAGGATTACTGGAACTGGAACGAGGCAATGTCAAAATGGAAGTCAAGGGGGTGACCTTATTTTCCCTACCTTGTCGTTGGCATCAATTGTCTCTTGGACCACACCCCGGTACCCAGTCAGTCCCAATCCCAAAGACAACCACACCAGACACGACAGGGCAGCCGGGGGACCCAGCCAAAGCAGCCAGGTACCTTGTCTGGTGTGTGTTTGGCCTTGAGCTGGTCTCCGTTTTACGAGACGAGCTGGACAACGCCTGAGGTACAGTAGCGTAACTCGATGGTACCCATGTACCTTGGAGACAGAGACACCCACTGAAGCAATGGGGCCAGCTTGGACGGACCCATCTCCTTTTGCCGGGAGATTTCCATTTTCAGGCCCATTTCAGGACCCAGCGGATGGCCTCGGTGGATTTCAGCGGGCCGGGGGGTTCCCTGTCTAATCCACCAGTTCTCCCACACGTCTCGAGAAACGAAACGGAGCTTGTGTGGGCGCGGCAGGTTGCTGGCGCTGTCGCAGTGGTCAGAGGTAGCTGGTACCAGCGACATGGAGCGAGAAAACGGAATGATGAGGTGAGCAGATTGGCACACTCTGGCACTGTGCCCTCCAGAACGGTATCACGGTACTCGAGGCACCCTGGGCACGGACGCCCGAGAGATCCAGCGACACAGCGAGCGAGCCAGTCCTCCCGGCGAGAAGAGCCACGATGTTGTTGTCCTGCCGTGGCTGCCATCCACCCGTTTTAGCTTTTGCCATTTGATGCCAGCCAGTGTCTGGGGCTGTCAAGCAAGTGTCAAACTGTCAGACTCAGAGTGTGCCCCTGGCAGCTTGGGGCCTTCCTAAAGTTGATTTGATCGCCTCAAACGTGCGTACGGAGGGTGCCATCCAGAGGGACATTGGGCAATCAGATTGCTGCTGGTTGGCAAAGACTTACAGAGTTTCTCTGTGGTTGCGTACGCAGCGCATCGCAGGCGTGCAGTGCAGCTCAGCGGTCTGACTGATGATGTTCGAGCGCTTTGCACTTCCTTTCCTGTCTTTGAATGTTACATTTGCCATGGGATCCGGCTTTACCTACGTCGTGTCTTGTCTTGTGGTGGTGAGGCTGGTGCTGATGCTGTTCGGTCTCTGAGATATTGGGTATTGGCACCTCATCGCCGTCATAACACGGGGCGACGGGAACCACCGCAGAAAACAGGGGTCGCGCTTATTAGTGATTGACGTCGGCGACGGCGAGTCCCAAAGACTTCATCCCTAACAATTCCCGTCTGGTCGTCAGAAAAGCAGCGGTTGTTCCGAAAGTATTGCGCCGCAAATGGGTAAATGGGTTTGTTCCTGCGTGATCGTGATGAGTTTGGGGCGTTTTCCGTTCGTTCATTCGTTCAGTAATCTGTGTGTTGCTTTTTGTTTGTCTCGAGATGAAAAGGAAGGTCCCAGGTCCCGTCGTGATGCAAAACAGAGGAAAAAGTAAAAAGTGGAAGGCACAAGGAGGGGCAGACGGGAGGTACGGACGAGAGGTTGCAGCGTGCCTGGGACGGAAGCCCGCGCATTGCCCGCCATATTCCAGTGGACAGCCCGCAGTGGCCGCATACAATCACGGACATCCGGACCCGATGCAGTGGGCGATGGACGGTGCCGTGAACGCCCACTTGTTTCCGGATGTTTCATCCTTCGGATTGGCCATGAGGCTGGAAAATGAAGGTTGCGAACAAACAACAAAAGTGAACACACACACACGGCAGCCGCACATGAAAAATTTTCACTGAAATTTCTTCGGTTTGATGCCAGCCTCGTCATCACGGTGTCGAGAGAGGAAGGAGCACTCGTCATGGCCGTCACTTTGCGTGCGCTCGGGCCCGGGACGGAAGGGACACGGCCGGCAAGGACTCTTCCTTCCTTCCTTTCGCGCCTTCCGCTTCAGAAGTAATCTCAAGGCAGCACTCAAACAAAGGTCCGTGTTCCTTCTTCTACCGTGCTACGAGAAATCTCTTCACACTTTTTTTTTTTTGTTCTTGGGAATCACGGGAACGGCGCCCATCAATCCAACCTCACGACCAGTTAGGGCTTCCACTCCCACAACTTCAGCGCAATGACACCTCACCACACTCGATCCAGGAACCGGAACATGCATCACCACTACCACCAAGAAGACTCGCAACGCCCCAATAACACATCACGGATTCACGACCCTGAAAATCCGGTTCTCCATTATATGACGACCCTTATTATCATGTCAAATGGTGACATTCGATCGACTCTCGATCGTCCCTCTCCCGTCTCTTAGGTTGTCTCTTGTCTTCCACCTCATCCATCCGCTCTTCCGTTACAAACTCCGGCCTCTTCGGAGACGCTCCAGTCTCTTACCTTATTCCCGTCTCCCACCTCTGGTCCGAGTATGCTTGGCAAAACAAGACAACACAAGACAGGACAAGACAAGACTACCTTGGACTATGCAGTAGGGCTGCAGCCTTTTTGGAGCCTCTCAGTCTCTCACTCCTCTTTACAGCTCCAGCTTTTCTCCGGATCGGCCTCAATCGGGAACTAGGGGCAGACTATCCGGGAATACGGAGAACCATAAAGGTCCATATCAGGGACGGTCCGAACCCCGAGTTGCTCCTCTGAGCGACTTCTGACAGGCCCAGCCTCCAGTTTCATCTTTTTGAAGTCCTCGTTCGGTCTTGACGTTTGCCGGCTCCCAATCCGGACTCCAACACCCCTGATAAGCCACAAGCCACACCCACCACTCACACACCACACCGCGCCCACAAGACAAGATGGTTTGATCTTTGCAGGCATATCAAGTGAAAGTCAAGAAAACATTACTTACACCTCTCAGACGCACATGCGCAGTTCGCCGGATGACAGGAACAAAAGATCATCTCCAGAGAAGCCGGATCTATATGTCCTACAATGGGAACAAGACAGCGGGACAGGACCGCCGCTGACTGATGGATGATATGGCTGCGCCTTGCTCTTAATTCCGCCACGGTCATCCTGCCGCCACAACCACCTTCACCACCGCCATCGACGACATGACCGACTCAATTTATCCTCTGCAAACACAGCTGCCACGATTGGAGAGAAAAGAATTTCACCCCTGGAATCTCGACAAATTTTTTTTCTCTGATTCTCAATTGAGCCAACCCCGAGTCCGCATCATGAACATGTGCAGAGAAGTGCGGCATGCCGCTGCACTCCTGATGCAGAGTTTGCACTCTCTCAGGGCATTGGACGATGGCATCGTGTCTGCCATCACAGGCCCAGAGGTACCTCCAGGTATGTACCCAAAAAACATGTTACGATGGCTGGGGTTTCCGGGTGCAGTGCCCTTGGTTCCCTTCGGCTCGCACCGCACATTCAGCTTCTCAACAAGGAAGAAAAAACAAAGGACAGCATTTTTCGTCATTTTGGGTCCCCTTCTCACATTCACCCACATTCACGAGCGATGGACATGTTTCGTTGGTGGACATGCAAGATGCACTGCATCTTGCAAGTGTCAGTTTCAGATTTGCCTGGACCCGCCGTTAGTGCTAGCCTTTACCCCGTACTAACCACGAACTACCCGTAGACTATGGCCTAGCCTGGAGAGCTACTGCGGCCCAGTCTGCTCTAGCTGCTACGGGGGTGGGCACTGGTACGATACGGCGGCGTTGCAGTTCGACAACACCATCGCCAGTCTGCCAATTGCCATATCTGGACATCCGAGTCCCACCGGCCAGAGAGCTTTGTCCATTCCTGCCCGTCGATTTCTCCATGGCCGGCGACTACATGCCCAGCCCGGAATCCGCTGCTATCTCGTCGCACTTTGTCGCATCTCGGAACCAAAGGAACGTGTGCAGCAACGCCGAGCCATTGGGGAAACCAAGAGCCCCTCCGGACGACCAGGAGAACCCCCGGACTCTGCATACGCGGCATTCTTCCTAGGGCAGGTGGGAAACAAGGGTTGGCCTTCCTCTCTTCGGTGCTGGTTCGGTGCTTGTTGGGCTTCGTGGCACTGCATCAGATATCCAGCTAATAATAGGCCCACTTTTGCGATAGTGAAGCTGCTGGTCGCCCTCGGTGTTGGCTAACTCTGGTCCACGTTTTTCCCTCGTCCACACGACCACGGTAGCCAGACCCTGATGACCTCTTCTGCACTTGGCTCCAGATCGGTGCTCTCTCCGTCTGCATTGCCGTCCGTCCAGTGGCCACGGCCTCGCACTCTTGGACACCCGCAGTGCACTACCGTGGTGGCCTGCAGATAGGCCTGCCCACCTATGGACAGCATCTCCAGAGCGTCCCCATCGGCCTCCAGCCTCCTCCTTCTCATTCGGCCGTAGGCAGAGCGTTTTGTCAAGGCCAGCGAGTCAACGAGTCCCTCCGGTTCCTCCCTGGATAGTCTGGGCCACAACACCAGTCCTGCTCCAGTCCACAAACAACAAAAGCCCAGCGAGCCATCGAATCCACAGAGATGGGCCAGAGTTGCCCGAGACAGGCTACAGAGTTCTTGCTCGGGGAATAAATCATCACCGGACTCCACGCAAAACGGCTCGAAAACAACAGCATCTTGGCCAAGAACCAAGCTTGCAAGGCTTGTTGCCGGTTGCAGCTTCGCGGCCCCGGACGTGGCGGACTTTCCTGCAGTCCTGGGGTTGTAACCTGAAGAAAGTCAGGCTGCTATGACGCTGTCGACACCCTGAAAACGGCAGATCTGGACTTGAACCACAGCGAAAGTGCTCCGGGTCGTGGTGTGCCTGCATCATACAACGAGAGTCGCTCCTCAGAAACGGCCGTCCGATGTTCTGATAGGCACGCCGAGCGTAGTTGCCCCGGCCCCGGATCGTGCCGTCCAATCTGCGCGAGTTTCGCTCTGCACTACGCTCCGAGTTTCGCTTGCCCCAGCCACCACGCCCTCGTACCGTTCGTCAGAGGTCCGGAACGGTTACCCGGGTAAAAATATGGTTCACCAGAGGCTACCACTTGATGACTCAGCCCTGGTTTCATAGGTGGGCATGCTGTGAGCTGTCAGTCCAAAGCTGCTGCAGGCCGAAGGAAAGGTCGGCCATAGTAGTGGTCGGGCCAAGGTGGGAGAAAACTGAACCTTCACCTACCACAGTGTGTCAGTCTTCACAACCGAACCAAAACATAAACAACACGCTCCTGGATTGTTAACGATGCCTCTGCGTGGTTGAAACATGACGCCGGCGCGGTCCGAACGGAAGGCATATACATATTGACACATCTGTTAGTGTGAGTGTGTTGGTTAACAGCAGGGCAGATGAAAAGCGACCTCAGGGTCGTTGGGCCACTTTGAAAGGCCACACTGTGTCCACCCAGCTGCCCGGATTGTACCCGGAGCGTTGCGGCCGGTATCATGTGGCAGCCGCTCCGTTTTCAGGATTGAGGCCAAGGCATTTTTCACACACCTGAGGTACATATGTTGTTACGATTAACCTTCACTGACGCGTCTAGCGTTTATTTCATATTATATCACCACCCGGACAGTCGCAGCGGGTACTACGTAGACATGTTATTGAAGCTCCTCGAAACGCAGGGACACTGATGAATCAGTCTTGTTAAGCACTTTAAGATGCCCAGAAACCGAGGATCGTCGCTAATCTGATCTCCCGTGTGGCCTAAACACAGAGTGACGATGGTGCTAATACGGTTTCAGCATGGCAGCGATGCGGCGATCTGTGCAACAAGGGCTGCTGGACCACACATTCAGCAGTGCTAAGCCGTCAGAGCACAAAAGAGGAATGGCCTCGATCTGCAACCACTTCACCGTCCCCACCTTGACCAGTAATTGCTCGGTCAACAGAGAAAAACGCACATCGAAACCAGCCAGTCTGCCGCTCCAAGCGGTGCCCAACAGCCGACGACGAGACGAGATGGATGCAATGCGACGCACTTACTCGCAAGGTGAGAGACAACAAACCAGTCGCCGTCAAAACAAAGCCCACAGAGTCGACGCCGCTTACCTAAATCAGCTCTAGCTGGCGACGTCAAGCTATCGCGACTTTATCTGCCACAAAACTCGCAGGACTGTACAGTAGCGCCTAGCCAGCAACGCGGTAGTTGCAGGGTCCAGGGTCTTCAAGCTTTTTCCCGCATGATAGGCAACGGGAACCGGAGACGGTACCCCGTAAGACCTTGTTGCAGAAACAACACGGGCCTGCGTAGGAAGCGCGGTTTGCGCGTTTGTCGTCAAGACCACTCTTATTTTATAAATAAGTCAAGAGCTGAAAGACGGCATGTTGGATGAAAACTCTGCCAGTCGTTGTTCTTGCACGTCCTCAAGGTTGGACGGATCAACGGATCCGCAGTAAAACTCGGATGCCGTACGACAGCGGAACATACCCAACGAGGAACACCTGCTCGGGTAGCTGACTATATCACAGCTCTCGTCTCATATCGTACCTCATCCTCGTGACGAACTCTCGGTGCGCATGCATATGAGTTTGTTCCGAAGACACACGACTGTCTACCCCAGGTTTCCGAGACAGCAACCCAAGTACAAATGTAACATGGTGGACAATTGCTACGGGTCTTCACTTTTTCGATATAATATACCCGCGCCCGACATGCCGCGTTGCGGGAACTGACAGCCACACGACAACCCGAGCAAGCGGGGTCCCCTCTCGGGGTAATCCAGTTAAGTACGTATGAGATATGCGCTGAATACGAATAATTGCCTGTCTGGAATTTGACCTGAAGCTCGCGGTGTCTCGGAAGAGGTTGGATGCCAATGGTAGACTTGATGGCGCTCAGCCCTGGGTATGTATCGTGGACTCTCTTTATCTTCCTTGCGTTTTGGTAGCTGCGTGCTAATGATTACGCACAGATTTACGTTCGCTCATTGCGCAGCAGGAGATGACGGTCATGCAGTAAGCCTCATGTTTGAGCAGGCAGCGGCAGTTCACTTGCCTCCCGCATTGGCCTCTGTACTGCAATCTACCCACGGTACTTTACAGACCATGAGCTACAGAATACCTTGTCGAATAGCATTGCATCTAGCCCAGGTGCTGCAGTCGAATATTTCCAGAACTCCATGTTCTGTGGTATTGGGTTGCCTTACCAGCACGTGGATTCAAGTAATCGCCCTCCTATGACATACACTATCCTAGCTGCGCAGGTATTTCTGGAAGTTGGATAGGTGGATGGAAAAGGCCCGAGTACTATTTCCCGCGACCACGCCGCCTGAGTTTCCCACAGCCCACCGAATGGGACTATCCGCCCGCAAGCCTGACATGCGTAGCGGGTAACACGGGGATGATCAAAGTCACTTTGGCCGACCAAGATGACGCCGCGCCAAGTGAAATAACGGAGCGACGGAGCATACCTACAGCGCAATGCCACGGTTTCCTACGGCTACAACCTGAGACATTGGAGCGAACACAGGCAAGGCTACCAGCACTTGTCAAGTTCAGCAAGGGTGCGGGGAACACAGTTGTGTTGCCAGTTCGTCGTATCCTAAGCAATCCATTTTCTTTGTTTTGGGGCGATATGGCTATCAGACCTTGAAATAGGTGCTGTTGTGCGATGCAATACACTTTCGGGGGTTGCAAGGTCCCGGGTGTTGTGTGTCGTGGGGCCTCCATTACCCCCATGCTCTTGCCCGAGGTTCCCTTGAAGGTGTCGAATATCTGGAACTGACATCATGCAGGGCCGCGCTTCAGCAACAATACCGAGGGCGAATTCAGAAGAGATGCTTTGGAGGGAGCCATCTTGTTTTCCAGACCCCCACTGCATCATCGTGGGCTTTGCCGTGATGCCCTACTGCCCATGACCATTCACGGCATTGACGGAACATCGTCGCTAAATAAGGTCTATGGATATGGATTGGAGGAGGCCAAGACACGAAAGGTACCCCAAGATTACTACTTACATGACTTTGTAGCTACATTGCTGCATTTGGTTGCAGATACCGACGAAACGGCACAGAAACTCTTCCTACCACTACCCCTCCCCCGATCTCAACGCCTATTCGCCGGGATGCCATGGGTTTTTTCTGCCAGAAACAGCCCCGCGAAAAGAAACCTAACCCAAAATCACACTTCCGCACGTTCTCATGATCGCAAATTGCCCATTTGGTGTACACTCATGCTTTGGGTGTCAATCAGCACAGTCACCTTTTTTAGACGATAGATGGGTTCGCGGTTAAGGACGACCCGACGGAAAGCCGGAAGCCTAGGCAGACAAATGCGGCGGCAAGACGGTGCACAAGTGGAAGGCGATGGCGGCACCACGGATTAACCTTGAGGATTGCATTCAGAAGGCCGAAGCGACAACCCGGGGAACGGATCCGGTCTACCTATCCTCGGCGTGTGTTGCAGATGCTGAGCCTCATCATGCCTGACTACTGCGATGCTGCACCTGGGGATCCGCTTCAACCGGACAGTTTATCTGAGGCTGAGTAGAACCGGACAATACGGAGTGCCGCCGTTGTGGTAGCCTAGGTAAGTGATGTTTTGGCCCCCCTGTGCTGAGACTGCTGAGTGGGACGGAAAGGCTGAGAAGTTGTGAGACATTGCAAACACAAGGGAAACAGAACGGTGGCTAGTGATGTACTATGTACTTGGTCCTGTCCCTCCTCTGAGACGGCCATCCGTAAACGTCTCGGATCCCTCCGTCCCGCGTCTTGTACCTGGCCTGGCTGAGCTCGGCCACGGGAGGAGGCCAACCAAGGTACCGACATACAAACTCGATGCCAGACAAGGTGCCAACCCTCCGTCATAGTTTCAACCTGGGAACCCGGCCTTGGTACCTTGCAGCAGTAACAAAAAGGGAAGACTTGGCCGTGCTACGAAACGGCAAGCTCGCATGCACACACGCACGCCCCCGGGGCACCGAGTGAGCGGGACGGAAATGCCTTTTCTACACCTTGCAAGGGTTGTAAATGTGTTCCTGCATTAGCGTTCCCTCAACGCTCCCCGTCGTTAACATGGGTAAAGTCTGGTACCCGACAAAGCACAATGACGAGCGGACCGCCGGCCGGCCGCTCGCACTACACACGCCCATTTCACTCAACCAATGTCGGGCCCGGCACACGGACTGAGCCCCGTTAGCCCAGCTGGCTGGAAGCCCTTGGATCAAGTTTTGCTTGCTCTCCTGAAACACGCACGAAGAGAGGCAAATGTGATGACGAGTGCTTGATTGATTGCTACAGCGGAACACAAATTGTTTTCTTGCTTGGTCCTCGAATAACTTGGCTCTCACTGTTGCCCTTTCTTATCAATCAATCACCATACAAACTGAATCACACGTGGATGAGTCACAGACCATTATTATCCAAACACTCAACGCGACGGGTTCAGGGCCGCGACGGCTCGGGCCAGTCAAAGGCTAAGTTGGTCGCTTCACTTTCCGTTTGGAGTATTCCTCTTTTGCCTTTGCTTTCCCTGCACGAAACGGAGGGGTTTACCAGCCCAAATGCTCCAAACCCAAAACCAAGTGATCAAATTCAAGCAAAAAGTGACGAGTGGAACAAACATTGAGGCCCATCATTCGCGTTGAATGCGCCAAGTGGTATTGGACACAGACAGACACACTGTGATGAGGGCAGCAGGGCAAATAGCGCATCGATGATCGTCACTCGGCTGGCGCGCCCCGGGCGGTTAGTTGCCAATGGGAAGTCCATCCGCCCATGACCCTGGCTCAGCTAGTGACCGCGGAGAAGGAACTCGAAAAGAAAGAAGAAAAGAAGACAGCGGCCTGATAATCTGGGCCCCCAGGTTTTCTTTTTCCGGGGATGCATTCGCCTTGGATCATGTGACTGCTGTTGGCCTCATTACAGACTTTCCTTTCGATGATGATGATCTTGATGTTGTTGGTGATGGACTATCTTGATGGCTGTTCAGGGGTTGGGGATAGCACCAGATGTCCAGATAGAGCATACCCCTTGACCACAACGTCGAAAGCCATCTCGAGTGGGAAGTCCTCAGGAAATAAGCTGATACTACCTTACTTTCCAGGGTCTAGTACCGACTGTGTGCCTTTAAGAGGCCAGGTTCGATATCAACACAGCGTCGAAATTTGCGAGCCTTCAAAAAGGTCAAAGTACACTGCCTAGCAGTCAACTTCATCGCTGTATCCATCAGGTAAGGTCTGCCCTGCCTCACACCTACGGATCGTACATAAGATCGGATGGATGTGAGACGGCATGATCTCCGAATCTCAGGTGTTGCCATATTCTGGGGAAGAGAGACATTCATAATCTAAAAAGAGCAGCCGAGCGGACGTAACGGCAAATCCATACAACTGGATCAACCCGGAATTACTCCGCGCACAGTTTGCCCTACCTATGCTGGGTTAAGCACCGCATTTGCGGTTTTGTATTCCCTCCGTCAGTCAGTCAGTCTACGGTGCACGACATCGGTAGGTTTTACCTCGTGTCATCCTTCACGCGTATGTTGACCAGTAATTTTATCACCGAAGTTTGATCTTCACCACTTGTCCGACCACAGGCAGAAGGGCTGTCAAGAGGGAAGTTGACTGATAGTCTTTTTTGACTGACTTAGGGATACGGACATAACAAATAGAGTATTCCAAAACAGCAATCCTCTAAATGGGTTGGCCGCTGGCGACCTGGCGTGCCTTAGTTGTGTCCTTGTTGTCTCAGACTTGCAAGACTTAGCACTGATTGAGACAAGCATAGCCGAACCGCAGCTGTCTTCATAAATAACTGACAGATGGCCAAAACGCCGCATCACCCAAGTGCTTCAAGGCCCCCCTGTTGCAAACGACAGTAGAGGTAACAACCGGCGAGACCCCCACGAACCATCAGGCATCAGGCACCTCAGCCGCCAGCCGCCAGTCTCGCCGGTCGCCATGCTGACATGGACTGGCTGACTGACTGACTGACACTTATCAGTTTGTCTCTGTGCACCCGCACTCACTTGACGGGAAGGCTAACTGACATGATTATGACAGGTGGGCGTGAACTGGGATGAGAAATGGCCGAGTCAAAGCCGTTCACTGCCCTACGCAAACAGATTGTTATGGGCTCATGGCACTGGGGACTTTGACGCCCACCACGCGAGACGGGACTCATATACCACATCACATATTAGGATTGAGGCGCTCTCGTAAGACCACTCACACATTCACTCAATGCGATCGGCCGGCAGGTGAAATACTCTATATCGGCTGACAACTAACAGATAACGGTCCGGTCAATCCACGTTCCAGTTTACTTTTGATTACTGAAGAGAGACCCTGTGAGTGCCACTTCACGAGGAACCAACAACAACGTGAGGAACCTTAACAGCTCGAGAGGCTAGACTATTGCCACTGTGGCGCACTTTGACAACGGCCGATAATGTAGTGGGATGAGTATATCGTGGTGAACGAGACATTGCGTGTGTGGGAAAAGACCATGCAGTTCGAGTTGATATTTCCACTTCCACTTTTTAGGCACCACACGATACCAAAACGACGTTCAAAAACGGCTAACGGTGCGTGGTGGCGCTCTAACCGTTATCGTTATGAAAGATGAAGCATGGCGTGGCATGGCTATCGTGGCTTGCATGGAAGGACGCTTGTCAGTCAGTCAGTCAGCAGCAACTCAACATTTGCGGCGTTGCCGTGCGTGGTGCATGTGCGCGGGTAAAGCCACATGGTTAAGGACAACGAGGCTTAACAAGGCTTGCAAGGTAAGGAAGGCCTTGTGAGTTGAAAGGTGTTGACTGTGACCTATCAACTCTCAACTGGCGTTTGATATTGGTTGTGTTTGCTTAACGGCCCCCAAAGTGATAGATGAAATCAACTGAGCCAGCGCACCAAACTTTTTTGACACAAACTCAACAAATCAACAAACGAAAGGATTGGATATTGGGGGCGACTTGAAAGAGGAAGAGGAAAAAGCAAGGAAAGAAAGTGGGATGGAAGGGGGATGGAAGCAATCGATCAACACGCCTGATTCTCGATGTCAATCTTAGCTACCGATACTCGCGCTGGAGGGAAACCCCCGTTGACCCCTTAAACCGTCGAGCAGAATTGATGACTACATGAAAGAAGTAATGCTGTGGGAATGTATATCCCCCAATTCAGGATCGCGAATATAACAACCTGGAAGTTAATCACAACTAATTTTTTTCACCATCATCACCATATCTCTATGATCATGCAAACAAACATGAGAGAAGCATCAAACCCTACACCACGCAAAGACAAGTAGAGGTAGGTAGGTAGCATCTAGACTTACCTCCCTATTTGAGACGATCAAAACGTTAAACTAACGGATTCGAACAG